TTTTCTTAATATATAAAGGTTTTCCAAAGTTTTCGTCTATGTTTTTATACTTCTACTTGGTTAAGATACTACTGCTTCACTTTTGTTTAGTTAATACCTCTCCTTCGCGATACACTTATACTTGAGAACGCCTCCACTTCGTGGTACACTTATACTTGAGAATGCCTACACTTCGTGATACACTTATACTTGAGAACGCCTCCACTTCGTGATACACTTATACTTGATAACGTCTACACTTCGTGATACACTTATACATGAGAACGCCTACACTTCGTGAAACACTTATACTTGAGAACGCCTACACTTCGTGATACACTTATACTTGAGAACGCCTCCACTTCGTGATACACTTATACTTGAGAATGTCTCCACTTCATGATACGTTTATACTTGATAACACTTCCACATAGTTAGATGTATGCCTATGCTTGTATAGATGCATGTAAATAATGGTTGAAGGACTTAGGAAGGCTTGTTCGCCCTATTTCCTTTTCTTCGTTGAGATGTGGTCTGGTGGGATCGAATGTCCGTCCGAAGGTCGTTCGACCATTAATTATATATTATGTATACAAGCATGGTCATATGGGTTTACATTAGTCAGTTCGGTTATGAGTCTCTATCACTAGTTCAGTATTTTTACATTAGATCTCACTATACGAGATACATCCTTAGTACACGGCCTTCTCCGTTGTCGAGTTGGTAACCAGAGTCTCTTGTAGGGAGAGCGAACATTGTGTGTATAGATCTATACGGGATTGACACCCCCGCACCCTGACTGCTAGCTACAGTCCACGGCCTACCAAGCCACGGGGTGACAAATGTCATAATTATATCGACGCTTGCTGGGCATCAAGATTCTCTAGTGTCGATTAGTATGGTTACGAATATCTCGAGGTTACCTTATAATTCATGGCTTTAAGGTAACGGGTTTTATACACAGTATTTCACCGTATACATTGTGTTCACTCTATTGGACCTTACTAGCTGTATCTTTCATTTGATACTGTCTGGGGTCTGTATTCTCTGTTTTAGACCTTACTAGCTGTATCTTTCATTTGATATTGTCTGGGGTCTATGTATCCTTTTGTTAGACTGAGCCAAGCATACCGTTCATTCGATACCCTCCTGGAGTCTATGATTCTTTTGCCTTAGTCAGCAGTCCTCACTGCTAAGGCATATGTTATTTTCCCTAATATTCTCCGACTTTCTTAAAAAGCAAATCCCGTATTTTGATAATGAAAGTGTTTAAGGGAAAACTACTTTTTACCACATAACTCTGACCAGTCTTGGTAGAAGACTGCTTTTTAATCAGAAAATATAGGATTTTCTGGAAAGGACTCTATTTCACTGTATACTTGAAAACTACCACTTTTATTAAAGTTATTTGAATAAAATGGCACTAAATACTTATGAACTCACCAGCATTTGTAAAAAAATGTTGATACTCACTTTTCAAATAACTTGTATTCTCAGGTCAGCATTAGACAGGTACATCCCCGGAGCTTTTGACAAAGACAGTTTAGTACCAAGCTACACCTATATTATTACTTGTATTATTTTGATGTATTGTAATGTAAACCATGTAAAACTATTACTATTAATACAATGGTTGTTGTACTTTGATTACTATAATGCATGTGTTGTGATACTTGACATGACGTCATCCACCCCAGAACATTTTCGCCATTCCGGTTTTGGGGTGTGACAGTAGTAGGGGCGAAATAGTCCCTGGAGTTCAGTTTTGGTCCGAAATCATCTAGCGGTTTCGGTGGGCTTAGTGTGTTCTCGATGGGCTTATCATGTATGGGCTTTAGGTTATCGGTTAAGTATATATAGGGATGTCAGAAAGTCGCGTGGGATCCCGATCCCATGGGATCTCCGTCCCGTATGGGGGCATTTGTTGAAAAAAATCGGGGACGGGGGCGGGGCGGGGGAAAGGTTAACCCCCATTTTAATTTTAGGGGCGGGGGTTGGTAGTCCCGTCCTGAAACCCCTGTGGGGGCCCCGTTAATAAATTATATAAATTGACATATATTAATTATATAGGTATAATAAACAATAAAATGATTTTTACATGCAAAAAATCGACAAAAAACATGTTTTTAAGTCGTTTGTAACATGTCAAATTATGTTATAAATATCTATTTGTTATCAAAAAAATAGTTTCTTTTAGCCCAAATAAGTTAGCTCAAAATCAATCGGTGGCGGGGGAACGAGGGCGGGGGCAGGGGTCAGAAGGGGAATTCGGGGGTGGAGGCGGGGGTGGAAAGGATGGAGATTTCGGGGGCGAGGGCGGGGGAACAGAAAATTTTTGGGGGCAAGTGTGGGTGATGCAATCCCTGTCCCGTTTGCCCCCGTTGACATCCCTAAGTGTGTGTGTCTATATATATATATATATATATATATATATATATATATATATATATATATATATATATATATATATATATATATATATATATATATATATATATATATATTCTAGTTTGATGTGTTTTTGGTGAATACTAATGATACACGGCTGAAGTGCGATTGAATGTACAATTATTCAATAGATTTGTGTGCATTCATGTTATTGAAACGTGTTCTTGATATATCAAATTGATTGTTTCGTATCATTGTTTGATTAAGTTTCTAGGACTTACAATTTTGATAGATCCGAATTCAGGGACTTACAACTGTAAGTCAAAGCTTAGTGAGTTCCCCAAAATACCCCACACAACAATACACATACAAAGCATGCACACATGAGCCTACAGTTTGATTGTACCGCCTCGCATTAAGGCCTATAATACACCTAGACCATCTGGGGTATCTTGGCCTATAGCACAAAGCAAGACTACCTCATCCCAACTAGGGGTGTAAGTGAGTCGAGCTACTCGCGAGCTACTCGGGATAGACTCGTTAAAAGCTCAACTCGAGATCGAATTAAACGAGCCCGAGCCCAAATATGAGGCTCGTTTATTAAACGAGCTCGAGCCGAGCTTCAGCTAGTGGGCTCGCGAGCCTAAATGAGCCTAAACGAGCCTATATATATCTATATATATATATATATATATGTGTGTGTGTGTGTGTGTGTGTGTGAGTGAGTGTATATATATATATATAGGCTCGTTTAGGCTCGCGAGCTCACTAAATTATTCACGAGCCGAGCTCGAGCTTCATTTTAAGGCTCGAATCGAGCTCGAGCTTGGTTAGGCTCGGGCTCGGCTCGGCTCGTTTACACCCCTAATCCCAACCACAATATATCGACATAAAAAAATAACAAACAAACATAACAACATACAAGGATACATACTACAGTACAAAGTACAGTGATAAAACTCACCTTGCAGACTAGTCGATAGACAACACATCTCTCACGCGTCCAAAACTAGTACTACGAACCACCTATATTACATATAGAGGCGCAACCTCATTCTATAGTCTCAAACCTCTCAAGTTGACCAAAAGTCAACTTTATCAAAAAGTCAATGGTCAACGGTCAAAAGTCCATCAATTGGCCACCATGTTGTAGCCAAATATCTGCCACGTAGCGGTGTCCTCTCGACAAACAGTTATAGAGGCTGCCTATCGCCACGTCGTGGTGGCTAAACCACCACATCATGGAACATACTCTGGCCAACTTAATGCATTAAATTCTTAATCCTTCAAGTAACTCATCCATACTTTCTTACACCCAAAACATCATAAAAATCTTTGTTTCATAGACATGCATGTCTTAAGCTCAAACTAGGTCAAAATGGTGAAAATGAGGCCAAAACCTCATGCTTGACATCAAAACTCTATTAACCTTCAGATCTGGAACATATAATTACAAGGGGACTTCAAGGATCCATAAATTTCCCAACTTTATGGAATTGATCAATCCAAACTCTCCCAAACATGGATAAAGTTATCTAAAAGCCTAGATCTTGAAACATCAAACACAAGATCAGAACTTGAGGACTTACAAGAGTCCAAAATGTGTGTAAGAGATGATGAGGAGATTTGCTTATTTGGTTTATGCACCAAGAACAGCTTCTTCTTCAAGGCACCAAAAACATCACCAAAAGCTCACAAATGTCAAAAATTGAGGTTAGGGTTGCTTTAGGTCGAGGTGATGGAGATTGGGGGTGTACAAACCGTAGTCATCACAACCTTTAAATAGGGCTTTAAGCCCGAAAAATTAGTGTTTTGCATGTTGATGGTCGTCACGTCGTGGCCATCACCCTACCACGTCGTGACGCCTTAAATAAATGTGCGCTTTCATCGGGTGCCGCTACGTCGTGGTACTATCACCACCACGTCGTTACCACCAAAAATCATATGCTTCTATGTCTTAAATGTCAAATTCATAAAAGTAGTTATTGGAACTGATGTTAAAGATATAGAATTTTTATGTAGTGTTTTTATTTAATGGTTGTTTTTTAGTTATGGAATTGTGTTAGTTTAAATTAATAAACTGTTTTTTTATTAATTTTATATAATAATATTTTTTTTAAAAGTACAGTTTATTCAATTAAAAAACGTGATAAAATGTGATAACATGGCAGGTCAGCAATAAAGTGTAATCGTACGGTGCGCTGCTGTGAAATCACCAAGCAACCATAGATCGAGACCTGCGGATCAGTTATTAGTGGAGTAAATTACACAAATGGTCTCTATGGATTTGGGTAATTCGCATATTTGGTCCCTAACTGATTTTTTAATTCGAAAAATCCTTATTGTTTGTTTTTGTTACGTGATTTATTACTACTTTTTGTTTTTGTTACACGTTTAGTCCCCATCTTACCTAAAAATATTATTATTTTAATAGAAAAAAATGATGGGTTATGGGTTGGAAGTATGTTTATTTAAATAAATTAAAAAACCAATGATAAAAGTCTTTTTAGTAAAACAGGGACCAAACGCGTAACAAAAACAAACGGTAGAGAACTTCCGAGTTAAAAAAATAAATTATGAACCAAACACGCAAATTACTATTTAGAGACGCTTCGCCACCGAAATCGGAGTAACTTTTTAGTGTTAGTTGTAGGGTTTTAGAAAAAGAAATCAAAAGTTTGTCATACGAAGTCGATGGGTGGTGATATTCCTCGGAAACAACCTCTATTTTGCTTAAAATGGCCATGGGATGTAAACTCAAACGCTAATCCAAACAAACCCCTCAGTTCATGCTCTTCGGGACCTCCATGGATTTTCAAATCGATCCAAACCGTCGGCTCCCTCGCTTCAACGCTCGTCGAATCGATCTCAAAACCCCAAACCAGAAACCAACTCCAGTTCTCGAAATTGGCGACGAAGACGAAGGGTTTGAGTGGAGAGGAACAAGGGGAGTTAGAACAGAGAGCATTGGCATGTGCTTTGGCTAATGGAAAAGACGCTACAGTGATCGAATTCTATTCTCCCAAATGTAGCCTTTGCAATTCAATGGTTGATTTTGTGGGGCATGTGGAGAATAAGAACGCTGATTGGCTTAACATTGTTATGGCGGATGCTGAGAATGATAAATGGTTGCCTGAGGTACTACTCTCTGATTCCCTTACCTTCTTCTGTTCTATTCACCAATACCAACCCATAGAAATGCACTCCACCTGTTCGATGAAATGTCTCCTTTGGTTTTATGCAGCTTCTCAACTATGACATAAAGTATGTTCCCTGTTTTGTATTGTTGGATAAACATGGCAGAGCTCTTGCCAAAACGGGTGTGCCCAACAGCCGGCTTCATGTTGTTGCAGGTGTTTCTCATCTTCTTAAAATAAATCGCCCATCTGAAAGATAAATCATCAAGAATGGTGTTATTATGGTATATGAATCACATTGCTTGATAGATAGATTTAAAGCCTTTTGTTTCCTTCTATGGAAAGAATGATGTATGCATGAAGGAAGTATTGTATGAATGAAGTATGAACAAACTAAACATGGTAGCTACTTAGTAACGAACAACATTGCAAAAACAAACAATTCATGATGCATATACATATTAACTTGAATTTAATATACGTATAGCGATCTTAGCCTATAAAGAATCGCCAATTTTTTTCCTTCACAACTTTTACAAAAAAGAAAATGCTATATTGGTAAAGGCCTCTCCCTTATTCACTGTCATTGTCAGTCCAATGCATGTGAAACACAGTACAACATATTGTATCCTGACAGAAGTTACAAGCAACCAAAGTTCAAAGATTCAAGAGTTGTTGAAGAATGCTTCTTCCTTCACTCAAAGTATCCAAATGAGAAACATGAGAAACCCATATATGTTGGAGTGGGAGCATCACCAAGTCCAATTTCCTTAACCTTTCCTCCAAATCATTCACGCCTTTCAAATCCAGCATACTCCCCACAACATTCTACATAACAATAACCATAAGTTAAAACAGAGGCATTTCATCGAACATGTAGAGTGCATCTTATTGACTACTTAATAGTAATACCCACCCAAGTGTTGGTGGAGCAAGCGTGGAGTAGTATGGACTTGAGAAACTGCTCATCTGACTCCTTAAGACTGCCCGAAACTTTAACATCCACACAAGAATAATCAGAGAAACATCCGTAGTTCTTCACTACAATCGGATCATGTGCATCTAAAATCTTCATTAAACTTGTTCTTGAATGTTTTAATGTCAATCCCAAAAGAGAAGTAATCACGCTTTCATTATCACTCCAGCAACAACATGTTGATGATCCATCATCTATTTATTTAAAAAAATGAACATGATTAAATATTTTCACATTATTGTTTAAATAATGATCTTCAAGAAGAAGCATATACCGATTAAGAAACCAGCAAGTGGGAATTTCTTGACATTTGAGTGTAGAAGCTCGTTGTTCTTTTCCAATACCAATACATGAATTGCTACAACTTTGCAATGGATTCGGAGGATTTGTTTATGGTGTGAGAAGTGAATCATTTCAGAAATTAAAGTTGCAGGAGGTGAATTTGTAGATGAGGAAGTGGTGTCCATATGTGGTGATGTGTCATTTGAGTCATTATTGCTATTTAGGTCATCTTCAGTGGTGATGGAGTTGATTTCAATGAAAGATGCAGGTGTCAACTTAAGCACATTTCCTTCACTAAACATTATAGAGTTTGAAATAATGGATTAGGAACTATGAATGAATCAATATGCCAAATTCATTATAATGATAAGGTAAGCATCAAATTATGTAGATTCAAAGAAAAAAAAAGGAACTTACTTCCATTTATTTGTGTATTACAGCATTTTATTTCCATTAAAACATTGAACTTTCCATTATTTTCTTATTGAGACATATTCTACTCATTTATAGCATTGTAGTTTTAAATACTTATTAGGGTTAATCTCATAAAAGATCTTATATTTTGTGTTTTTTCCGGATTAAGCATCAACTTTATTTTTTTCACGAAAAAGACCTTGCATTTTCTTCATTTTTTCCGATTTGGCCCTTTTGGTCATTTTTCTCTAAAAAAAGTTGTAAATTTTGAGGGTTTTTTTGGGAAAAACTAAAAAGGTTGAGGATTTATTTGAAAACATTTAGAATGTTGAGGATTTTTTTCGAAAAAAAAAAAAAAAAAAAAAAGACAAAGTTGAGGGTTTTTTCGGAAAAAAATATAAGGTGTTTTTCATGAAAAAAATAAAGATGAGATTTAATCCAAGAAAAACACAAAATATAAGGTGTTTTATGAGATTAACATATACGGGTAGATGTAGATTTTTTTAGATTGTTCAAAATAATTAAAAAATAAAGCATGTAAAAAATATTTTGTTTGTAGATTGAGATTTGAGGACACATACGATGTCAAAAGAACACGATAAAACTTAGCTTTAACACCTCGTCCAAATCCAATTGGATAACTTTGTTGACTTAAGCTACTATAAACCTTCACCTAAATAACGCAAAGTAAAAGAAAAAGAATCATAATCATAAAAAGAAGAATAAATAAATAACGAAAAAGAAAAAAAAGAAAAGTAGTGTTTACCATGTTATTGTCGATTAATACATGAATACAGATACTACTACTTGAGACTCCATGAAAGATACGATGATGAAAAAGTTGATGAGTATGAACACCTAACACAAGTCCTTGGAAAGATAATAAATCCCCTTTGGGCAAATTCACACCAGACACCAAAGGAATCAAACAAGTGTTGAATACTTGTTTGATTGATTTAGTTGGGAGAATAAGATCTTGTTTGAGTTGTTTGAGTTTGACCTCAAAGTCACTGACACATTCGCATAAATATCTGGACATATCTCAATCTCATTTAAGTTATGGAATGAAGCCTCATCATCATTACAAAAAGAAACACTAGTCCAAAAATGTGATTTAGTGTTCACAAAGCTACTACACTCCTTTGAAGAGTTGCATACAACATCTTTCTCATCATGCTTTACCAAATAATACCCACCAATTCTCAATAACTGCCATAACAATGTCATCGTGTAAGTTTTTTTTTTTTTTCTCTTATATTATAGAGCATCCTACTTTCATTTCTTATATTAAAGGTTTTAAAAAGGGTTTTAGGCAGAAAAGTCTCATTATTTTAGGAACTTTTTTGATAAAGTCCTGAAAAAAAATTGAACAGAAAAGTCCTGATTATTTAATTTTACACGATAATCTGTCATTTCCTGTTAAAATAAAAGGGTTAATCTCAAAAAAGACCTTTTATTTTGTTTTTTTTCCGGATTAAACCTCAAATTTATGTTTTGCATGAAAAATATCTTTTTATTTTTTCATTTTTCCAAAAAAGCCCTCAACTTTGTATTTTATTTTCCGAAAAAAACCCTCAACTTTTTTAGTTTTTCTCAAAAAAAACCCTTGGATTTTACAATTTTTTTTGGAAAAAATGACTAAAAGGTCCATATCGGAAAAAATGAAAAAATACAAGGTCTTTTCAGGCAAAAAAATAGATTTGAGGTTTAATCCGAAAAAAAATAAATAACTCAAAATGTAAGGTCTTTTTAAAGTTAACCTAAAATAAAAATAAGGACTTTTTCGTTAATTTATGCAAAATATTAAAAAAATCGGGACTTTCTGTTAAAAAAAAAAAATCTTTATCAAAAATTTCCCAAAATAACAGAACTTTTCTGCATAAAACCCTTTTAAAAATTGCTTTGTATTTGGATGACAAATTGCTATAGTTTGTTGATTTTTCAAAGTAAAATGTTGTAATATAATATAAAGAAATAAAAGCCTATAATGAACAAATCAATGAAAAAAGATTGCTATTTCTTGCATTTAATCCAAATCTAAATAGATAAGTTGATAAATATGAAAATGGCTAACCTCATACTTTGAGAAACTATCAGATTTGAACTCCAAAAGCAACTTCCTTGCAGCTCTTTTACAAAAAGAATCTTCCTGCATATGCATATTTACAACTCTGCCATTTAACATGTTAACAGATTCTGAATCTCTTTCTCTTTTACAAAGAACCAAATTCCATGGAAAAGCTATGGCCTCAACATATACACTTAAATTATTTGTAGCAACATCATCACCTGCAAACTGAGAAAAAATTCAACTTTTTTTTATAAATTAATAACATTACAAGAAGCAGTTTTATAAATTAATAACATTATTCACATATTAACATACCTTTTGTTGTAGAGGAAATTTGTGCATTAAATAAAGTAAGTGAAAGTTTCCACTTTCTAGCTCTTTATACTTCTCCTTATCCATTCTAGGACATAAAATATGATTTCTTGATTTTGTGTCTCTTATATAGCAATAAATATAAATTGTAAATTGTTTTCTCCTTGATAATTGAAAATGGTTGAAGATGTTTTTGCATGAAAATGGATCATTGTTGAGTGATTGTAAATGATGTATTTGTCTTGGGAATCCTTCAATGACAACACTGAAGTCATTTATCTGGTGAAATAAACAAGAAACAAAATAAATAAATGGAGATATGAATATAAATAAAGATCATTAGTTACCTCATATATGTCTTTAATGCTCCAATCAGATGAAAGATCAGGTATGACTATGTCAATACTGCCTGTTGCATCAACTAACTGCAACCTTCTAGAATATTCAGAAATCTACATGACATTTACACAACTATGTTGAGAAATGGGATAAAAAAAATAAAAAAGGATATTCATAAATTTGTTAAAGAATAGGCTTTCTTAATGACTACCTTTAAAGATCCAAGCAAAACAATGTTCAAATCTTCACTTTTCAAGATTGTTCTAATTGGTTGATCATGAGATTTCCCTCCACAAACTAGATTGTTAGATTGATTAATCATATCAGAATCTTTCCCACTTTGATATAATTCTTTTATGAATATGTCCTCACATTGACTTATGAGATTGGAAATTGGCACAACCTAAAAGAATTGAAATCATTTCATTAATACATAATACCAAAAGGAAATAATGAAACAATAGAGAAAGAAAATCACAAAACCCTAATTGCTAAAATATACCAATTTTGGAGGGGTGTAATCGATTTCTTTGCCACATCCGTATAACTCATGCTGACAATATTCTGTGAGAACTCCATGCTGTGAAACCAAACATGTTTTTAGAGAAATCCATATAATGTTATAGTTGGGTAGATTTTTCAAAGTATAATAATTAGGGAAACTTTAAAGTATTATGCTTGATTAAAAAAAATGGCTTTACCCGAAATCGGAATACTGATAAAGGTAAACATGAACTGGAATATTTCTGAACTAATCCTTCCATCTGCAAAATACCTTAAAAAGTTCATGTTATGTGAAATTATAACAGAGGATTTATCCAAGAAAACAACTCATAACAGATGAAATACTTAATTACATGTTTAGATCCTAAGATCTCCATCTCAGATAAAATCCCAGAAAACTTTTTCTTCAAAGATGAGACAACAAGCAGAACCCTGAGATAGAATCTTGTGAGGAAATGGGAAAATACAAAATATCATGAAGGAAAATAACAGTAAAACAAACAAAGTAATAGTAAATAAGCAATTGTTCATACCATAATCTAGCAGAAAATGAAAGTGATTCAATGAACTTCCTAAGAAGGCTACGAGATTGTAAAGATTGGTAGCATCTGTAAGCAAAAAGAACGAATAATTTGTTAAATACAAGATTTCTAAATAGTTGCCACAAAAATAAAATATAGCACTAACCCGTTTTCAATTGGAGAAAATATATTGACACGGATGCTAGTCTTGTAGCATGATCCAAATACTTTTACTTTTGTCCAAGAAAATTTGGGATCCTCCAGATGAAAATTCCTCACTGTTATCTATCAGCAGGAAAGCTCAATTTATTAGAAAAGGGATCAATGGAAGAAAAAGCAACATGCTTTCATCTATTTGTGTTTGATAGCATTCTACTTCTATTTGCTTCTATTACACCACTATACTATGAAAAGAGTACCAAAGTATAGCAGCAAAAACAGGAAGAAATCAATAGAAGTATGATTGCTATTTTCTTGCATTAAACCCTAGTACAGAATTGGGACCTCTGTATTCATAATAAGAAGTTAATGTACATACAGTTGCACCAACTCTTAAACCATGTGGCATCAAGAGTGGATGGTCCATAAGCAACAACAACACTTTTTGATCCAATTCTATAACCATTCCCTGCATGTAGAGCCCAGTAATACTTCCTGTATGGACACTGCATAGCCCTTTCTCTCTGGTTGCAATATTTCTTCCATTCATGGCCCTTTTACTCTTAGAGACTGGAAGATGGAGGATGGCTTTCTCTGTGGTCACATACATCATCAAAGACTTCCCTTCTCCAAGGAAAACCATCTTCTTCTTCATGCCGGAGATAAGCATAATGCCTCCCACCAACCTTGAAATAACAGGATACGAGATCGAGGCAGATTCACAAAAATAAAGAATCCTTGATTTAGAGAACTTATGAGAGTTACTATGTTCTCTATTTATATCATGCAATAACATTACCTTGTCTCTGGAACAACACAATGCGCACTCACAGATGGTAATCTCAGCTAGAAAACCGTTAATGTTTCTGGTACCGGTTTTATGGGCTGTGCAGGGGACATTTGAGACAGGGCTAACGGATTCCAGTAACCCGTAGATTAAGTGACGAGGAACTATAGTTTCTTCATACGCAGGAACTACAGAGTTCAGATAGAATGCGTTAAATTTGGATATGGAATTTTCTTCAGACTGATCGAGGCTCCACCTGATAATTTCTAGATATCCGCCGTGAGGCTTCAGAGGAAGGAAATTCCAGGCAGTGACTCTGATTCTTTGGCCAATAACCCGAAGATCAAGGTCGAGAATGTCGCAACAAACAGCGGCAGAATGGTCTGAGAAATGGAGGCAACTTGAATTAGAACAGGATGAAGACGATAAGGTTAGGTTTAGGGTTCCGACGAGTACTGTTGGGTAGTTAAGAGGTTTAAGGATTTTATGGATATTAGGGTTTTGTGGATCAGACGGCTGAGGTTTCTCTTTGTATAGAGTCGGACGACGAATTGAATGGCTAGGCAAGAGTGACGACGCGCCGGTGACAGGGCGGAGACGGTGGAGTAGGTCGGATATCGAAATCAGTTTCACTGAACTCTCTTCTTCCATTTCCACCGAGAGAAAGGGGTCTATAGAATAAAGCGGGAAAATGTTTCCCCTGTGAAGTTCATTGAACTTAAATTAGTCAATTTTCTATTTATATCTTTTTTAGAAAATGATCAAATAAAATTGCGACTTTTGACGAACCTACTCTTCAAATTTAAAGATGTCCAATTTACTTGAGATAATGAAATCAACATATAAAAAAGTTTGGTTATTTGTTTGGGTTGGTCAATTCGTTACTTTTGGGGTTTTGTTATTGGGTTAATAATAGGGGTGTTCGAAAATATAAGCATTTAATCCAAAAATCCGAACTAAAATTATCCGAAATTTCGGATGTTTGGAATTTCGGATATCTGATTTTTTCGGATTCAGATTCGGATATCGATTTTAAAGAATTTCGGATATTTCGGATATCCGAAAACCCGAAAATAAAACTTATATTTTATATTTTGTCTACGTATTGTATTAATTTAAACATCAATTTACCTTAACCGTATGAATTGGGGTTTTAATGTAAGTAGCTCAAGATTAGTTTTTTATTTTCCCTTATACTAAATCACTTTCATTAATTTTACGGTTTCTTACAATATATATATATATATATATATATATATATATATATATATATATATATATATATCAATGGTTATCAGTTTTAAGGACTTATGGTATACTCATAACGAACATCTTCGTGGTCTATGTGGCCACGAACAAAAAATATGAACACCACCTCATACTCTTAGTGGTGGCTAGTGGTAGAAAAATTTGTGATCAAATGTGGTGGGGAGAACGGACAACAACATCCAATCAATTTTTTTCTCTCTCCATGTCTCTCTATCTCTCTCTACCTCTCGCTACATTTTAATTAATTAAATATATATATATATATATATATATATATATATATATATATATATATTAATTTAAAAATAAAAAAATAAGAAGCATATATTGGTGAGTATCCTATAGGTTTAGTGGTTGAATGTGGTGATGAGATGGCATCCACCACCATAGTGATTAGTGGTGGGTATAACGGATGGTCTAATATAAATTGATTCTTAAAAACTGAAAAAAAAAAAAAAAAAAAAAAAAAAAAAAAAAAAAAAAAAAAACATTAGTTTGTGTATTTTTCCTCCCATGTTTAATTGTTTCAAATTGTATTTTCCTATTTTCTAAATTACACTCAAATGTTTAACAATATAGAGTGATTTGTAGACATGGTTTTTAAGACTGAGTAATTTATTTGCATCTCTTTTATGAGGACGACTCGGTTGTCGGGTGGTAATAAATCCAATTTTTTAAAACGAATTTTGATGTATGCACATTATACATTGATACATGAACATTTTTTTTGTTGTTTAATGTTTATTTGGCTTCTAGATTGATGCATAAAATATTTTTAAAGAATTCAAAAATACTTTTTAGAAATTCATTTTGAAAGCTAAATATTTTCAGATACCCGAAGTTAATATTTGAATCCGTATCCGAAATTTTGGATATCCGGATTTTGGATACGAATTTGGATATTAAAATATAACTACCCGAATTTTTGGATATCCGGTTTTGAACACCCCTAGTTAATAACTTAGAAGGGTAACAAACTTTGTTTTTTATCTGTATTTAGGTAATCATGTTTTTTCCATACATATTTGATCATTAAACTTGTATTACCTGTTCAAAATAGGGTAATATGATTGCTAATTATAAGTCATAGTATCTTGTTATGAATAGGTTAAACAAGTTTACTGGTCAAATGTGTATGGAAAAACATGGTTACCAAAATGTAGACAAAAACTGAAGTTCCTTTACATGTTTTGATAATAATCGGGTTCTTTATGCTAAGTGCAATTAGTCATGAGACTCACTGATGTGACATGGAATTGGGTTATCTGATCTTGGTTTCATATATGGAATAGGTGTCATTAGCGGGTTCCTGAACTGATTCATAGTTGTCATCATAAAATAAAACTATTAGAACCGTCTCATGAGCTGTGTCCTGGGAAATTAGATCAATATGTATAAGGATATGGTTTTTCCTAAACGGAGAACTATCTTGGTGGGAAGAATGTATGTATGCAATGGATGCTTATATATGAGAATGAGAGATCCTCCTCAAGGAGGAGGAGGTGTTTTATGTATAGATTTAGGTCAATGGATAATTAGGTTAGGCAATTATAAGCATAAGTGGTTAACAAATGCTCTCTTACACATTTAAGTTTACGATTATATTACCTAACCCTAGGATTTAATCAATCGCTAGTTCTAACGACTTATTGTTCATAAACTAATCAAGACTCAAGTTAATACAACCAAATTGGTTGTCTAATTTCTACTAACTCAGTAATAGATAATAAAAATCAAAACTTTAACACATAAGGTATTTGATCAAATAAACATAGTATATTAAATAAAACTAAATATTTGAACAATGGAATTACACCAAGTTATAGGGTTACATCTTATCTGGTGAAAACATAAGGGTTTTACCCCATAGTTAATAGACAAAAATAGAAAAACATCATTGAAGGATTGCTAGACACGATTATCAAGCGAATCCAAGTGAAATCCTAATATTTCTAGCTTGTGATTCTTCAAATCTTTGCTTCTACTATTTCTCAAGTTTTGAAATAACCCTAAAAGGGTTCTGGACGACTTCTAATACCTTGGGAAGAGTTCCCAAAGGTTGCATACCGAATTATGATCAAAAAATTGTATATTTATAGACTCGGCAACTCAGTGTCACGAAAATAGGAGTCTAGCGTCATGAAAACCGTGTTTCCGTATCCATGTTAGTTTGAACTCTTGGACGCGACACATAACTTGATTTTTCGCAGGTTTTCGAGTATAGTTCTTATCAGCCCCATTCTTATCCCAATCTTTTCATTTTTCTTCTCACCTTCGATTTTTACTATATTTATCCGATATAAAACATATTAAGTATTGTCACACCCCGAAACCATAACGGCAGAAACGTTCGATGGAGGATGACTTCTTGGGCAGTATCATAACAATGAATATAATATTGAAGAAAGCAAACACAACCATCATCAATATAATTGAAAAAGTTACATCGTAGTATATGTTTACATGTTTTCGAAATCAATTACATCATGATGACAAAATATGTTTTTTGAACTTAACGCCTTAGCGTCCATGTCCTCAAAGTTGAGCGTTACCTGTTCACTGAAATCCTGAAAATACAAGTATTTTAAGAGAAAAGTGTCAACAATTAAGTTGGTGAGTTTATAAGAGTTTTATTTTGAAACGAAACTATTTTCCTTTGTAAAAGTGATAAAGTTGATTCCAAAAAATCTGATATTTTCCTTAAAGAGTGAATTGAAAGTTTCTATGTTATGAAATAGTGCATCCTAGAATTTCCTATAGTTTCCTTCTATAATCTCCAAGTATATATATTGTATATAATATTAAAGTTAGATAAATCGTCGAATGTAATGGGTCTGCCCTAGGCCCACAACCAAACAAGGAATAGGAAATAAAGCGGACCCACCAATTCTAAGTCGATCACGACTAAATTCTATATAACTCTAGCATATACACTTAGTAATTATGGCTGAAAACTAATAATTCTAGACGGAATGTAGTCTAAAAAAGAGCCAAAGACCGAGACTAGGTCTATCATAGTTCATCAAGTAGTGGTAGTGGACATAAACTATACATGTCATAATTTATCAAATAGTGGTAGTGATAATGAACATGAATTATGCATATTATAGTTTATCAAATAGTGATAGTGGACATAAACTATACATATCATAATTCACCAAATAGTGTTAGTGATAGTGAACATGAATTATGCATATTATAGTTTATCAAATAGTGCTAGTGGTAGTGAACATAAACTATACATATCATAATTCACCAAATAGTGGTAGTGATAGTGAACATGAATTATGCATATTATAGTTTATCCAAAAGTAGTGGTGGTAGAGAGCATAAACTATACCTATTATAGTTTATCATATTTTTTGTAATGTAATGCAACCTAACTATACCTACTATAGTTAGCGTATTTCTTGGTAGTGTACACTTATTATAGTTTATTGTAATTACTTGTAGTAATGGAAAACCTTAGTATATGATTCATACCTTCAAGATAAGGTAAATAATATGTATTATCATTCACATGGATTCAGTTAGTAGTATCCTTGTCATGGTTTACCAAATGTTTGTATGTAACGGATGTAAACTTTATTTATGACAATTTATTATTTCACCATACTTAATATAGTAAAAACTCATTTGTTTTTTGATGTATGTCTACATACCAAGACAAAATGACACATAATGTAATAATATATAATCACATAATGTTACACACCTTGCTCAACAAGTTACAAGGTGTGAATGAAATTGATGGCATTTTTCTAATAATAACATTTCTATTCCTGTTCTTAGAAAATTTATAGAAAAATCATCAAATGTCTAAATCAAAATCCGTAAATTCTGAGAGTTATGAAAATATATCTAGTTTGTTCATAAATTTCTCATGATTTTTAGTGACCTCCAACTTGTGTGAAAAAGTCCATAATCACAGACTGGTCCAGACCGGATTTGTTCTTGAAATGATAGGCAGTTTTGTAAAAATTACCATAAATTGTAGAAAAATCTTATGGGGATGTGTAAGTAGTCATTTTAAAGCTATGAACTCGAGCTATTTGCACCTAGTACATTTTTGAAAACTAAAATGTTAAAGTTGTCCAAAACAGTTCGTGAATGGAGTTTAACTTTCCTGATGAAAGCTATTGGAAAAGTTTAGTTGTGTTATTGGTGTTTTAACTTGTATCCCCCCCCCCCTCTTAAAACTTAAGAAAATAGGAAAAGATAAAGGTTTGAACTCACCTTGTGTGTTCTTAGTGGATGGATGTTGAAGAAAAGGAGTGTTCAACTCAAGAACACTTAGAAGATGCCTTGAAGATTCGAAGATCTAACATGAAGGTGATGATGTCTGTGTAAGATATCTATGATTTGAGTAGAAAGGAGTGAAATAATC